TTGCCTTCTGGTTGAAATTGGGTATGGTTTGCCTTCTGGTTGAAATTGGGTATGGTTTGCCTTCTGGTTGAAATTGGGTATGGTTTGCCTTTTGGTCTGAAATTGGGTATGGTTTGCCTTCTGGTTGAAATTGGGTATGGTTTGCCTTCTGGTTGAAATTGGGTATGGTTTGCCTTCTGGTTGAAATTGGGTATGGTTTGCCTTCTGGTTGAAATTGGGTATGGTTCGCCTTCTGGTTGAAATTGGGTATGGTTTGCCTTTTGGTCTGAAATTAGGTATGGTTTGCCTTCTGGTTGAAATTGGGTATGGTTTGCCTTCTGGTTGAAATTGGGTATGGTTTGCCTTCTGGTTGAAATTGGGTATGGTTTGCCTTCTGGTTGAAATTGGGTATGGTTCGCCTTCTGGTTGAAATTGGGTATGGTTTGCCTTTTGGTCTGAAATTGGGTATGGTTTGCCTTCTGGTTGAAATTGGGTATGGTTTGCCTTCTGGTTGAAATTGGGTATGGTTTGCCTTCTGGTTGAAATTGGGTATGGTTTGCCTTCTGGTTGAAATTGGGTATGGTTCGCCTTCTGGTTGAAATTGGGTATGGTTTGCCTTTTGGTCTGAAATTAGGTATGGTTTGCCTTCTGGTTGAAATTGGGTATGGTTCGCCTTCTGGTTGAAATTGGGTATGGTTTGCCTTTTGGTCTGAAATTAGGTATGGTTTGCCTTCTGGTTGAAATTGGGTATGGTTTGCCTTCTGGTTGAAATTGGGTATGGGTTTTTAAGAGAACCTTCATCGGGCGTTTAATCTTCAGACGAAAAAGAGAGAAAGATAAATCATTCTATATGATAAAGCGCGATTTACCAGATCTGAAAACGGGTAGGGATTTTAGAGGTCAAGTCTAAAAATGGGTATGGGTTTTTCTAACTATTTTTGGTCTGAAATTGGGTCAGGATTTGGAGAACCGGGCGGCACACCCCCACCAAAAATTCCGAGGAGTACTGCGCCCCAGCATATAGGAGTGGGGTGATCGTCGGAAATTTTGAAATAAGCCCCTAAAATATCCCATCTTTACAGGTTCTTGGAAAATGATTCTAATGGAGTCAATGAGAATGTGAACGATGCGCGTCGTGTTATGCTTAGCCACCATCTAGGGAAGGTTTATGCCACTCTTCGGAAGACTTGGGATGATCTTCGGCAATTTTCGGAACTCTTCAGTGGTCTTCGGAAATTTTCGGAAGCCTTAGGATTATTTTCGATAATATTCGGGAGACCTCGGTGATCATCGGGTGATCTTCAGTTTCTCCGTTGGTTGAGCATCACGTGGTATGTTGCATGTAGGATAACGCGCGCTCTGATTGGCTGTGTAGTCGTAAACACGGTTATGACGTATCATTGTATTTTGTTAGCTTTAGGACGTTAACAACTAAAATAGATAACGGCCACTTCTTGTTTACATATCCTTATGCAAACACTCGAGAAAGTTTGGGAGAATTCGAAAGTATATACTTCTCCCAAACTTTTTCTCGTGTTTGCACCAGGCTATATAACACACGCGCCATACTTGGGTCCGGCTTCCAATGATAATTGTTTGAAATCTATTTTTAGCCTTCAGTCCATGGCTGAGCTATTTTAAGAGTGCTACCTGATTGGTCAGTTCGAGTAACGCGATGTCGGAGCCTCGATCAGAAGGCAATAAAAATAACTTCCACAGCATGGCGCGAAACTATTAATAGATTTCAAAAAATTATCAAGGGGCCACGGGGAATCCTTCTCTTAGATCATCCTCTCTTGTTCTTAGCTATTGACGTGGAAAACGATAACGACGCCAATTGCCCGTTCCGAAGTTCAAAAAGGGACTGGGCACTAGTTTACCAGTTGTTCAAATTACGTCATATTAAAAATTTAATCTTATCACTAGAAAGATCGCATGACAATTAGTAAGTTTACCAAGTTTGGTTATGTTATATACATTGCATAGTAACCAGGCTGTGAGCTGTCAAAGGTCGTCCAAATTCCATACAAACGTCTCTAATTCAGAGATGGCGTCCCCCAAATCCATACAAAGTCTCTAATTTTTCTGATTTTTGAAAGCCTTCTACATGGTTGAAATCCAACGAAACAACACCAAACTTGGTAAACCGACTAATTTTAATGTGATCTTTCTTGTGATGGGCTCCAATTTTTAATTAAATCTATATTTAAAAACTTGTCCCCATTCTCCATTTGAACTTCGGAACGGGCAATTGCCAATTTCTTGCAGATGATTGCCGGTTGGAGACTCGTTGCTACTACACCACTGCCTATACCCATTATACAATCTATTACAATACGCGTTGCGGTGGTATACTTGGTTGGTTCACCTGCAAAAAAACGAAGTAGGTGAATTAAAGGGACACTGTCCCGGCGTATTTGCTCAAAACTGTTATAAATGCATGAAATGTCCCTAAATCTATGAAATAACAACTTAATAAACTCTAACTAAATGATAAAAAGCAATTTCTTCAAGAAATTCCATACTGTAACAAAATTTTTGCAAAATTTCGAAGATTTCCGAGCCAAATTTGAAACTTTGAAAAACTGACATCCTGACGTTTTTTCAAAAATCCATATTGCAATCCATTTCCATCCTCGCTGTCGTTCGTCATCCTCACTTCCTAATGGGTTCCTGTCATTTGTCGAGTGTTATTCTACAGAATCAAACCATCATTGATCAACTTCCTATGATCTAGATAATGTTTCTGAGCTTCCCAAAATCATGCTAAAATCAGGACAGTGTCCCTTTAATAGAGAGATTTTAAAGCAACACGTTCTACGGCAAATGCCAACTTGCTGTTTATTATCGAAAATAATTCACACGTTTACGACAAATGCGAAACTACTCACTTTCATGTAGAAATGGCAGACGGCAAAAGTTGGATTTTTGGTACCTCGCGCGAAAACCTGACCTACTGGGTAAAGCCATCTTAAATATTCAAAAATTTAAGGTGGCTCTAAACCCTTACTGCAAAAAGTTATATCTCAACATATTGATCATTATAATCCATCAAAATTTTTTCTCGCGCGCGATTGGTCTAAACATGTCACGTGACGCAGCCAAAACTGGGGAATATCCGGGTGATATTCCCCAAGTGATATTCCCCAGTTTTGAAACTTTGCGTTTCACGTTCGCAGGTTCAGTTTTCGTCTCAAATAAATTGCTAAATTAAATAGAACTGATTGTTTTGAACAGACTAGAAATATTTTTGAATGCCAGCAGAATTATTTTGATGTTTAACAGCTTGGCGTCCTTGGCCGACCGAGATCTTCCACGGCAAACAGAGCGGCCTTGTGAAAAAAATATTTGAAGGATAATAACTACAATAGCCTCCATTTGGCTTCAAAAATATGCTCGGATATTTGTCCTTGGACATTATTTGTTCCTCGAAGCTCACAGTTTTCCTCGAGCTTCGCTCTCGGAAAACTGTTCGCTTCTCGGAACAGATAATGTCCGCGGACAAATATCCGAGCATATTTCCTCGCCAAATGGAGGCTATTGTTTATTTATTCAATAATACTGTAAAATGGGAGTCACCGAGCTCGTTTTGTTTTGATCATCTTCTTGATGGCCGACCCTGAACTTACAGTGAAGATGACGCTACCGTTGCCACTCAACAAAGTTTTTGATTAATTTTTGACATCTTTTTGACAACTTTTTGACGACTTTCGGATGGGTTCCGTTTGACTTGACCAATCAAAATCCAAGGAGTGTTGGAGGCGGAGTCGTGAAATTTGACTGGTTTTAGTTTCTAGTCTAGTTCAAATGTGGCGCCACAAAACGGGACCCATCAAAGTTGTCAAAAAGATGTCAAACATTAACGACGGTAGCGTCATCTTCACTGTAAAGGAGCTATGTCACGATATTTGAAGTGATTTTTGCGAAGTGCAAAATCACCTTCAAATTGACAATAATAGTTCACTAAGGTAGAAAAACACAAATGAGGCGATAATAAACCGAAAAGGAACAAGGATGGTTAAGGATGGAGGAGATTAAGACGGATTGAAAAAAATTGGCCAATTTTTTCAAGATGCGCCATCCGTGACGTAGCTCTAATCTTTTTATGTTGTTTGCGTAGTCAAACTGATTTTGTTACAGGAGGGTCTTGAAGGGGTAAAATGGGAACTGCATGGGATTTGCCTATTTTTTCACTGGGAAAATGGGATTTGGCTCCGTGGAACTGAGATTTTCACCAATGTTGCTGCTGGTAATGGGATTTGGACAAGCATTACAGAGGCTGGGAGACTGGGATTAATTGGGCTGGTAGAATGGGATTTTTATCCCCCACCCCCCTTCATGGCCCTCTTACAGCGGTTCTTGCCTTTTTCAGTTTTTGAATGCCGAAGTAGTCATATTTGATCATCACTTTGATTTCGGTTTTGCGACTGTCATTGTAAATTAAACCACTTCAGACTTTCATTCTGCGTCCATCCCTATTCTCTGTAACCTTGCGTGTTATTTATATCTTCTTAGGAGGGTGCGGAGGACTAAACAAGTACGAAGATGTCCTAATGTGTCGGTACCAAACCGCCCTGGGGCAATATGTCCCTGCGTGTAAATGGAGGAGTTTTGTGGAGACGGACTGATCTCAATCGAAGGAAAGGATTTTCAATCATTTAATCTTTACAGACAGTTGTACAGTGGCGGATCCAGGGAGGTCGGGGGAGGGGGGGGGGGGGGTCCGGACCCCCCTATCAGACCTTAGGGTTTTTTTTGCTTTCACCATTATCCATAGCAAAACCATCTCCAGGATCCACCAAAATGCACTTTTCACAGCCTGAAATCTCAATTTTTTCTGGGGAGTTCCCCAAACACCCCCCTCCCCCCCCCCCCCCCCTCCGCGCCTTTACTACTGCCGTCTACTTCCAAAAATTCTCCTTCGATCTACTTCAATCACATTTTCGGGAAAACCCTGGGACCCCCCTATCAAAAAATCCTGGATCCGCCCCTGGTTGTAGCATTAAATATTAGTAATAATAGGGAACAGAGATGGCGCAATGGTGAGAGCGCTCGCCTCCCACCATGCAATGTGGCCCGGGTTCTCGAATCCCCGGCGGACCCGGCGTCATAAGTGGGTTGAGTCAGGGGTTTCATTAGAAGCCGGCTACCGGCGGTTCACCGCCGCCTACGTTGCCTCTTGCCGCCGCTTACTAACCAAGCTTTCTGGCCTTCTGAGAGTTTACTTATAAGATTTTTCTTTAAACTCAAAACTTCGTATAGAATAATCGCAAGATCGTTTAAAATACCTGAGATCTACTGTGATCGATAAAAATTGTCATATATACAGATATATAGCACTAGATTTGACACCCAGAATGCTGGAAATTGCATTTCCGAGCTTCTACATTTACAAAATTTTCTAGGGGGGCATGCCCCCATACCCCCCTAGCATAAGGGGGCCATAACCCCTGGTTGAGTTTGTTCTTGGTTCTCGTCCTTGCTCCGAGGGTTTTTCGTCGGGTACTTCATGTTTTCTTCCCTCATCAAAAACCAACACTTCTAAATTCCAATTCGATCTGGGAGCCGAGGGCCACAGGTTTGTAGTCGCAAGACCAGGCCCGTAGACAGGATTTTGATTGGGGGGGGGGGGGAGTGCGTTAAAGTGCCAAAGTGCGATCGTACAAGCGTCGAAGGCGCGAGCTACTAGGGGGTCCGGGGGCATGGCCCCCCGGGAAATTCCGAAAGATTAGGTTGTCTGAGACTGCATTTCGCGCGTTTTGAAGGCAGTTTGATATGAAACCAGGCATGCCAAAAGCGAACGTAAAAACATGATTATTTCTGGAACTTTTCAGTTACGTAAATTCAAAAAGAATTTTTAACAAACAAACTTTATGTGCATGTAATTTACAAGTTTAGGGAATACCGATGAAAGAATAGTGATGCCATCCCCCAACTCCACAAACATTTATGATCGTAGTAAAGGCCACACGAGAATTGCTCTCGCGTGAGCTCTTGGGGGACAGAGTTATAATATACTAACCATGAACTAGGCAAAGTAGAGTGCCGTAGGCTATGAATACATTTTCAACATAACTCGTTATTCGCTTGAATGCCCGAGGGGGGGAGGGGGTCGTACCTTTTAGGGGATACACTTAGGGTGTTTAAATCTAAAATGATTACCCGCCCCGGTATCTTTTAGGATCAGTTAAGCCATAAAAAATAGGAAACTAACCGGGGTAGGGAGAGGGGAGGGGCTTGAATTGACCTGAAGCGAAATCTTCGACTGAGAAGTGAATATTCGTTGAAATGGTTCTTATTATATTACACGGATTGTTTTGCTACACAGCCAGCTGAATCAACGAGAAAAATGAAACGGGTGAAAACATATAAAACGGGTTGACGTAATGTTTTAATCATAGAGTATGTTTTGAACGCAGAGAAGGCTTCGCAGAGTTTCAAGCCACAGGGGGAAGAGAGGCCCTGGGAACGAGGTTGAGTTTCAAGCATGTTTAATCAAGTTTAAAATCGTTTAATAGGTTAATTAATAAAACAAGCAATAAGAAACAGGAGAGATGAGGTAGAGCATGGTAGTAATGTATTGTATGTTAAGTCATGTAAGTTACGTAGGACAATGTAAGCAAAGTAATGTGTGTAATGTATAATGGAATGTAAGGTGAAGTTTAACGCGAATAAATAATTGTGTAATGAAAATTATTAATACGAATATTTGAATGTAAGTTTCTTTCTTTTTTGTAAGTAATAAGTGCCGGAATTAATAAAGAATTAACCCATGGAAAAAAAGATTTAAAATCGTTTTCTATGTATAAACATTCCGCTGGGGGAAGGGGAAGGGGCAGGTGGTCTGAACTTCCTGCTTCCGGTACCTTGTACTTCCGGTTCTCGCCCCCTCCGTTGTGGTTCCCGCCTCGTTGTGATGATTTTTCTATCGCAAAATATTACGCAAAATATTCCTATTTCTTCCCGGTTCCTGCCCCACTTCCCAGCCTTCTCTTCTCCTGTCTCCCGTTGACGTTCCGATCCACTTTACTACAAGGTTCCCACCCCTTGCCTCTCCACCCCCCACCCCCCCCCCCCCCACCCCTCATCCCCCATCCCACTTATAAGCGGAAAACATGGAGCGCGAGGATTGATGTTTTTTTCCTCTGTATGAGTCCCACGCGGCCTCAATCAAGGAGCGACGCCTGGGTACGACTTAGAATTAAAACGTGCCAGAAAACAGTCATGCTAAGAATTCCGGCCTCCACTTGAGAAATTTCATTAAATCCCTCTCCACTTTCCCTTATCGAGTTTCATGTCTCTTTTAAATAATTAATTGAGACGTGAGCATTAAAGAGAGGTGTAGCCGTGAGCCAACTCACATTCATTTCTGTATAAGCCTCAATATCCAGTCTGGAAAGAAGAGGACGATTGGGACACTAAAGTCAGTTAACGTTCAACTCCAAGCGCTGTAAGTCACAAAAATAATTTAGCTTATTGTATTTTTTTTTTAATTTAGCTTACTGTAGTTACGGAAAGTGATCATGAATGGGCCATCAAAATTTTGAAGTGCTCGCAAAATTAGGCTTCTGCTCGAATTGCTCGTAAAATTTTAGTGGGTGCTCGTTTAATTTGTTCGTGCTCGCGTATTATTACAAGTGCTCGCATGCTCGGTTTTTAGTCAAGGTAGCTGAATTCGTTGCTCGCAAGGCTAACTTTAATCAATGCTCGTGCTCGCAAAGAAAATTCGATACCCCTAACTAGCGGCACGATCCATTCTGAAACAACACCACCTTCTCGTTCGGGTTTTTCGGGCAAAATTTAATCAACAGTTACAATATACCTTGTAAAAACGGAAGAAGAGTATCGCAAAGACCGGCAGACAAGCCGCACCCATAGTTATGGGTTAACTAACCCATAGTTAAGAAGCTTCGAAAAAAAATTAAAATAGTTTCGCTTCACGTTCAGTCAATTACCTGCATCAGCTGCATAAGAAAGGGGTACCGAGCACTAGTGGAAAAGATCTTTGCTCGGATCGAAAACAGAACTCGAAAAAGCAAGAAAAAATATTGCTACGGGATACAATATACTGAGAAGATTCTTTGGTGGAAAAGTTGTATTGTTGACATTGTTCTCGAGCAATCAAATGCAGAAACTTCTAAACTTAAACGGAACATGATACGTGGTACAGAGTGCGAGCGAATGACAACTTTCTCATCTTCAACATGGGCCTAGCCTGCCTAGCAGGCGCTGGAGTAAAAACCCCGCCACGGACACTCGCGGCTGTGCCGCTTTGCCGCTTACGAATTTTTACTTCGCGCGCCATCAAGACCGCCAGCTGCGCAGGCTAACATGGGCCCTTCTATTCTATCCTCCATGGCCTGACATACGGAATGCATAATTATACCAAATTGCATTGATATGGTTTTTACCTTGATAAAAGTTAATACAAAAATTGATCTACACTTTATGTCTCATTTGCTGGATTTTCGCGATTTGTTCAGTTTCAACACTGGTGATTGCTTTTAACAGCTAACTTTATTAGGAAATTTCCGCAGTTTTCTTTCAGATCCATTTTTCATCGTTCTCAGTAATTTGCTCCATCTACAACGTGCAGTACTTTAACTTGACAGTGGTATAAATCAGCTAAATTAGATTCTGGGTGATTCCCATGTGAAGTTTTTAAGAATTAACCTGATTTAACAATTAAATGCAGATCATTCACGGCTTTATTTCAAGATATATCAGTACAGTCTTCTGAATACTTTTAAACCAATTAAGTTCATTCATTCATTCTCTCTTTATTGTATTTAACCACCGAATTATATTATCATTTTGAGAAATGTAATTGTTCGACCACACTCTTTATTTTATAAGAACCATTTTTAATTTATACTGAGAACTTTGAGGCTGAAAAAGGGCTAAACTGAAGAACATGTAAAGAACATGCATATCTCAGGCTGAAATTTTAGTACAATGAGCAGTGTAAATAAAATATCATTAGAATGTAACAGTTTGGTCTGAGCAGTGACAAAGTCCAACTGAATCCAACATGGTCGAATACATATAGCAATATATATCGTAACACGAACAATGTAGGTTTTCTCGTATCGAAATGTGCACTTCTTTTCCATTCAAAATAGCAAATTATGTATGTATATATAGAACGTTCTCATTCTCAAATCAACCAAAAAGTAAGAACGTTCATTCCTGGCTCTGTCTCAGCTCAAAAATTAGACGTTCTTACAAAAAATAAGGGTGTAGTTTCCAGCGTATATTCCAGTTTTGTTTTTTCACTGGATAATATATTTTCCTGTTTAAACTGGATAGTCTTCGTATTTCCTGTTGGAGAGACGTGAGCAAACATGGCTCCATACCACCAGCAACTTTGACGTTTAACGGTTCATAAAATATTTATAACGAATTTAAACAATTGTGTCCCCTTTGTCTCTGTAAATACACTATATGCTTTGACGTCAATGACTGTCGTTAAAATAATTAAAATAGTTCGCTTCGCTTCATCGGTTAAGTTTTACCTGCCTCAACTGAGAAAAGGAGACTAAATTTTAGTAAAACAAGCTGAAGTTTACTATACACGCTATCGATACCGAATCGAGCACTAGTGGAAAAAAGATCTTTGCTCGGATCGAAAACAAAACTCGAAAAAGCAAGAAAAAATATTTTAAACGCGTTTCGTTTTTTAGAAGGAGATTGAAGTCCGGCAAGATACGATACTTTTAGGGACCTTAAGCAACCACGACGACGACGCCATGGAAAACGTCACTTCAAAAGTGAATTCACGTCCCTAAAACTATTTCGCGATTATTCCAACACGTTTAATTTGTCCAATGTGGCCAAACTGTCCCGGAGCTGAATTCGTAGCGACAGAGTTCAAGTCCAGATAGAGAAAGGACAATTCACCGACGTGTGTTCACGTTCTCCATAATACTTTGAATTTGGTCATTTCACGTTGTTGTTTTGCAGACGACGACTAAGAAATGTACAAAGTTTTAAAACGCCCGTGCAGAGCTATTGTACTACTAAATAGTAAAGAATATTCTTGGTGGAAACGGTTGTAATTATATCCTCGAGTAATCCCTATTCAGAAACGTCTACTGAAGCCTC